GATCCAGACCTCCACATTCCTGGAGGTTACCCTGGAGGAACCCTCAGGCAACCACAGCCAGCTCAGGGCAGGCTTACAAAAGCCAGGAAGACACGCTGACTTCCCATGGCCCACCCCAGACCCCCAGTGCTGAGGGTCTCAAGTTCGGAGTAGGAACATCGGTCAAGATGCCCCCACAGCAGGCTGTGGCAACAAAAGAGCCACAACAGCATCAAGGTACCTTGGATCTCAGCCTGGCTCTCCCTATGACTACCGAGGGAGAGCAACTTCCAGATCTGGTGGAAGAAGAGGAGTTACTGAATGGTCCAGCTGCTGAAGACCAGGATCTAGCTCTGCCATCTCCAGCTGTGGCAACTGAAGACGACCTAGCTGCTGTGGATCTTGAACTGGCTGCCATGCTCACAGGTCCTGAGGGAGGCCGACACCCAGCTCAGGAGGAAGAAGAAGGGTCCTGCAGTGACCACGAGGCTGTGGACGTTGAGCTAGCCCTTCTGTCCTTGGCCATGGCAGAGCAATATCTGGCAATGGCAGCAAGAGAGTTCTAGCAGGTTTCTGATGGGCTGGATCTCAACACGGACTACTCCCTGTACCTGAGGTGTACCTGGCTCCTTTTTGACTCTCCTGGATGCTTTTGAGATTAGTGGGCTCTGCTCTCAACTAAAACAGACCCACCTCTACCCGTGAAGGAGAACTGAATTCCTGCAGGCTTAGCCCAGCCCCACCACAATCCAGATCCCAAAGGACAAATTCTGGGGTAGATGTCAAGACCTCATCTTTCCTCACATCATCCTGAGTGAGCTCTGTGGAGCTCCTGCCCCAACACCAGAGGCCTCCTTCCCTCCCACTCTGGAAAACACCTGTTCCTTTTTTTCTTCTTATTTTATTCAATATTCAATATGTAACTTAAAGTGGTAGTTTTAGTAAGTGTTCATTGTTTATTCAAAAACAAATTGGTCCTAGCTAGTTGCTGGTAGCTCATGTGTCTATTCCCAGCTACCCAGGAGGCTAAGATCTGAGGATCAAGGTTTGAAACCAGCCCCAGCAGGAAAGTCCTTAAATTCTTATCACAAATTAACCACCAAAATGCTAGAAGGGGCGCTGGGAAGGTGGCTCAGTGGTAGAGCGCTTGCCTTGCATGACTGAGGCCCTGGGTTCGATTCCCCAGCACCACATAAGCAAAAAGAAAAAAGCCGGAAGTGGCGCTATGGCTCAAATGGTAGAACGCTAGCCTTGAGCTGAAGAGCTGAGGGACAGCGCCCAGGCCCAGCGTTCAGGCCCCATGACCAGACCCAAAAAAAAAAAAAAAGCTAGAAGGGGAACTGTGGCTCAAGTGGTAGAACATGGGCCTTGAGCAAAAAAAAAGCTCAGGAACAGCATTCAGGCCCTGGGTCCTAGCCACAGGAACACACACACACACACACACACACACACACACACACACACACACACACACACACAAATGGATCCTAGTGGGAGGTGAGAGGGATATTAAGTTGGTTCTCTTGGGAACATGGGAGTTAGTCCTTGGAGGAGCAAGTTGTTACAAGAGCAAGGCTGAACTGCTGTCTGGTTTCTGTTTTTAATTTTTTCTTTTTTCTTTTGTCAGTCGTGAGGCCTGAACTCTGGGCCTGGGTGCTGTCCCTCAGCTCTTCAGCTCAAGGCTAGGGCCCTACCACTTGAGCCACAGTGCCACTTCTGGCTTTTTCTGCTTATGTGGTGCTGAGGAATTGAACCCAGGGCCTCATGTATGCAAAGCAAGCGCTCTACCACTGAGCCACCTTCCCAGCCCCTTGTCTCACTACGTGATCTCTCTGTCTCATATACGCTTCCTCTAGGATGCCATCTGCCAATGGGGCTCTGGCTGGAGCCTGCACTATGCTGTCTGGACTTCTAATCTCCACAATGTTTTCCTTTCTGAAATCTTTGGTATTTTGTGATTCTATTGGAAAACAGACCAATATAATGACCTTACTTTGCTCAGTGCTGTTCCCCCTAATATGACACCTTTTCTTGCAGTCTACCTATTATTCCCCAAATCAAATACCACCTAATACACAAGATGTCTCCAAAAAGCTTGCTTTTCTCCAAATGGTCCTCCCCATCCCCTTTCCCACTTCATGTGTTTATAGAAATTTCTATTGGGACATCTCATTGAATTGTAACAACTGTTCATGTGAGCCCCTTTATCTAGAGAGTGAGATTTTCAGGACAGGAATTGTACCTGTAGGCACAGTAGGAGCTCAAGCAATATATCCGGTTGCTCCTTGGTTGGAGGGGCAGTGTTGAGCACTTCTTACGAGTTGCAGGCCAAAGCATTGCAAGAAAATCACATTGTCACTAGGATCACCTGGAGCTGGCGCGCTCAGAGATACCCAGCTCTGAGCTTCAGTGGAGACAGCACCTCTGTGGCCTTTTGGGGGGCTGATTCAAACAACTTTGTTATTCCAAGTGTTCCGACTGGTGCTCTTAAGACCTCAGCCCACACCCCTTAAGATTGGAACATGGGAATTCAAGGGCTCCTTGGCAGTGTATTTCAGAAACTCCACAGGAAGGAATCAAGGCAGGCTCCTGGCTGCTTTGTGCAATTTCCTGTGTGGATAACCTGGGAACTGGATATCCTACATCTGTCTAGTCCTCAGGCTAGAGCACAGGTCCAGCAGCAAGGAAGGAAACAAACCTTCACTGTAGCAGATTCCCCAGTCTGCCTGCTGAATTTGTGCTTCGCTTTCAGTTTCTCTCAATAAAATAGAAACACCAAAACCTACTGTGCCTCAAGGTGCTCCTAAGGGTTTGGCACATAAAATTGAATATTTTTTTTTAAAATCTGACCTCCATCAAAGGGACACAAACAGATCATCAGGAATATGTAGCTTTATACCTGTAGTCTTAGCTCCTCAAGAGACTGAGATCTAGAAGACTGGAAGCTCAAAGCCATCCCAAACAGGAAAGTCTCAGAAATTCTATCTCCCAATAAGCAGCAAAACACAGAACTGGAGGTGTGGCACTAGTGGCAAAGAGCTAGCTGTGAAGCGGGGCAATGGTGGCTCAGGCTTGTAATTCAAGCTACTTGGGAGGCTGAGATCTGAGGATCACAATGCACAGCCAGGTCAGGCAGGAAAGTCCATGAGACTCTGATCTCCAATTAACTACCAGACAAAAATCTGGAAGTGGTGCTATGGTTCAAAGTGGTTGAGAACTAGCTTTGAATGAAAAAAGCTCAGGGACAGTGTCCAGGTCCAGAGTTTAAGACCTATGACTGAAGGGGAGGGGGGGAGAGACGAGGGGAGGGGCAGGGGGGGAAGGAAGGGAGAAGGGACTAGCTGTGAGCAAGAAAACCAAGTTACAGCATGATCCTGAGTTCAAGCTCCAATATTAGGGAACAACAACAAACAAACAACAACAACAAAAGTGGAAGAACCATGGCCCGGAAGTTCTCAGTGGACCCTGCCCTTGATGAATAGTGAGCTTTGCCCATGTTGTGTATGTGTGAGCCTGTCCCCAAAAGGAGAAAACACATGATATGGACCCAGATCCCAAACCCCACAGCCTGGCACTGTGACTTCGGGGCCTTGCAGAGCCTAGGAGGCCTCCCCTTCCCTCCCATGGAAAGCCTTTCCTACAGCTAGTTAGTCGAGAGCCAGCCTACAAATCCTTGCACCTGGTCCAATAGCTATCTGCCATAGTCTCCCCCAAGGCCTGACATGAGTGACCTGGAGGGGCTGCCTCCATCCAGAGCCCAGTGGAAGTACATCCTAAACCTGCCTGTCTTACCTCTTCAGAGAGACTCCCCATGAAAGCTTCTGCCTGTGATTTCTCACTCTATCTTTCCCTCCACCTTCCATGCATCTGACCCTGGGCTCCATGGGGCCCAGAGTGGAGTTCCCCTCCCCCCTCCAGCTCCTAGGCCTCTCAGTGGCTTCTGTCATGAGGAAAAAATATCTATCAAAACCATAAGGAGATCAGTCACTGGTGACTGTAATTCTAGCCCCTAGGAGGCTGAGATCTGAAAATCAGGGTTCAAAGCCAACCCAGGCAAGAAAGTCCATGAGATTCTTATCTCCAATTCACCACCAGAAAACCAGGAGTGGTGCTGTGGCTCAAAATGGTAGAGTGCTAGTATCAGGCAAAAGAGCTCAGGGACAGCCCTCAAGCCCTGAGTTCAAGCCCCATGGTTGACAAAAATAAAAAATAAAAAAGCCATAATGAAATACCACTTCTCCTTGCTTAATACATGAACAATTACAAAGGTTGAGGTCGAGGTGAGAATATCATCTTTCAGCAATGTATTTTTTAAAAATATTTCGTAGGTAAGATGCGCACAGAGCCACCTTCCGAGTCTTCCTATGTCTGGAAATGTTGATATGCTTTCCTCACATAAAACTGGGAATTTATCCTCTCAAATTCCAACAAACTCCAGGCACCTAGTAAAACCCCGGCCTTCATCTGCCAGCCCTTCTCCAGCTACTCTTTCTCATCAACCCTATCACTTGGCAAGCTCCAGCCGCCACACACTCCCTACGCCTGCCACAGCCTGTGCCACTGATGTGCATGTGTGGGATTCCCTCTGGAGGCCTCTCTTTGCCTCTGTGATCCCTATGCCAACCATCAAGCCTTACTCCATCAATCCTCTGGAGCCCACCAGCATAGGTGACATGCATCCTGCACACCTTTAGTCCACTCTTCTGCTCTGGTTGGAATCCCTCCAACACAGAAACCATGCTACTCATGACTGAATCCCCAGGACACAGCACAGAGCCAGGAAACTATTGGCAGCTCTGCCATCCTAGCCTACATGTTTATAATGTAAGAAATCGCTGGAAAAGACACATAAGCCCCTTGGGCCCGGTGCCCTTCCTTGCTGGGTCCCCCAGCAGGACCATGCACATGGGCAAAGCCTTGTGGGGTACTTCAGGGCACTGCAGGGAGGCTGAGTATTTCCTCAGTACATGGGGGGTGGAGGTGCAGGCTGGACACTTGGGCTGGCAGCAGGTGTGACTCACATTGCTCCTCCCACTCTCGCTCCTCCTTCTCGCTGGTCTGGCAGTGGAGGTGGGCTTGTTTGAGAGTCCAGTACAGTTCCTTGGCCCTGTGCTCCTCCTGGAGGCGAATCTGCTCTTCTCCTCGCTTCCTCTCCTCTTCCTCTTTCCTCTAGGAAGTCATGGAGATAGATTGACATTAGAGGAGAGTAAGACTTTTGGGAAGCTGAAGCAGATCCGGGCTGAGCCGTCATGGATGCGGTATGCCGGTGATGAGCCTCCTGCCTACCCACCTAGATCTCAGTCCCAACACAATTGAGATCAGGACACTCGGGAAGAATCAAATTGGTTGAAATATGGAGACTAATTTGTAAACTCTAAAACTATAAGCAAAAGTAAGGATAGTAAGAGGAGCCTGAGCCATTCTCAGTCAGGAGAAACAACAATGTAAACAGGTAACGTGAGGGACACAAAAAAATCACTCCTCCTGGGGTAACAGCCCTTCCCAGGGTTTTGTGGCCTTCTAATGGTGATCCCAACACTCACTGGTCCACCAGGCACCACCTGACATGCTGTCGGCGCAGGCCCCACCTACAGAGGTCTTACAGGCAGCCAGTCAACCCCTGCCTAGACCCCTGCTCCTACTCCCTTGCACTCATTGAATGGATTTTATAACCAAGCCCCACAGGCTGAGGGGCCAAAGCGAGAGAACTTACAGTCCTCACAGTCCTGAGGTCTGCACATCAGAAAAGCTGCTTTCATTCTTTTTATGAAAAAAAATATCCATAGTAACAACAGGTATACAAGGGGATTTCATTTTAACACGTCCATGTGTGCATACGGTACACTTTGGGTGTGTATATGTGTTTATATGGTATCTATATAAATATTTTTGTTGTACAGAGGGTCATTTGAGGATCTTTTCCTTAGGCTGCAGGTGACTTCCCCCCACCCACCATCTCTTCCACCCACATGACCTTTGTTCTGTGTATGTGTGTGTCCATCTTTGTCCAATTTCCTCTTCTTTGAAGAACACCAGTCTTATTGAATTTGGGCCCAATTCATCCAAAAGATTTCATTTTAGCTTAAATGACTCCTGTGAACACCCTATGTCCAAATAGTTAGATGCTGAGGTTACCAGAAGTTAGGGTTTCAATATATGGATTTAGGGGAGACATGATTCATCCCATAATAGAACACAGAGAAGAACCAGGGACAGGGCCATGGATAAATGGGGCCTCCCCATCTCAGATGACAGTGGTTTTCTTACTCCACCCAGATATGACTAACATGAAAGAGGACACTAAGTGACATTAAGTGACAGTGCCACCTCTTCACTTTAAGAACAGGAGTATCATCCAGGGAGTCAGAAGTCTGCAGCAACGTTCTTTCAAAGGAAAATGACTGGCCATTTACAGTGACAAAGGCGAGCTCTTTACAAGCAAAGAGATGACAAAAGGAAAACATTTCACAACTACAAACACACAGAATTGTGCCTTTCTCTCCAAGGTCTTGCTAAAATGATTTAATTCACACTACTGAAGTTGCCTAAAAATTCTTTTTTTTTTTAAATGACGATCAGAAATCTTTGGCCACTCTGAGATACTGGAAGATACGTTTGAAGAGCCAAAGGCCAACCCAGCCAAGAAGGAGATGTACAACTCTCCCATTCCATCCAGAAATGGACTGATTGGCCTGCGGTAGTTGCCCAAAGCCCTCTAAGCTGTCCAGCTTATTCAAATCCCCCTAACTAATAATGCATCAGTAACAGCACAGGAGTTCACAAAGGCCTGGGTCTGTTCACCCAGTGGACAATGTCATGGAGACAAATGTTGCATCAGAAAGACATCGTCATTATCATGGAGGCAAATGCTGCTTCAAGAAGAAACCCTACCTGAATCATTAACCAATAGAATACAAGCATTTGGCACCAGTCCTGGGACTTGATCTCAGGGCCTAGGTGCTGTTTCTTAGCTTTTGTGCTCAAGGCTAGTACTCCACAATTTGAGACACAGTTCCACTTCCGGCTTTTTGGTGGTTAGTTGGAGAAATAAGATTTTCATGCCTGGGCTGGCTTTGAACTGCAATCCTCAGCTCACAGCCTGCTGGGTAGCTATTATTACAGGTGCAGGTGAGCCCCCAGCAGCCAGCATCACCATTATTTGTGTTTGCCTGCTACAACAATACTGTGAGAAATGCCTAAAAGCTACTTTTGCTGTTTTCTTGGGCCCAAGAATTAACTAAAAATAAGAGAGACTAACATCCCTGCCTTCATTTTGGATGTGTCTCTGCTGGAAGCCATTCTCTCTCTAGTCATGGAAGTCACTTTAAAACTAGGATAACATCCTTATGACAAGGGATCATACCTGAAAGGGACAATAAAGCATCCTCAGGGAAAGACCAGCCTTGCGGTAATGAGGAGTTGTTTATTCTGACCAATGATAAGAGCAATAACAACTTCTTTGGAACCACTCTCAAAACAAGGATTGAAATCATAATCATGGGACATTGTTCCTGAGCTTTTTCTGCTCAAGGCTTGCTCTACCACAGGAGCCACAGCTCAACTTCTGGCTTTTTTGGGTGCTTAAATAGAGATAAGAATCTCAGGGCTGGGAAGATGGCTCAGTGGTAGAACATTTGCCTTGCATGCATGAGGCCCTGGGTTCGATTCCTCAGCACCACATAAGCAAAAAGAAAAAAGCCAGAAGTGGCGCTGTGGCTCAAGTGGTAGAGTGCTAGCCTTGAGCTGAAGAGCTGAGGGACAGCGCCCAGGCCCAGAGTTCAGGACCCACGACCGAGCCAAAAAAAAAAAAAAGAATCTCACAGACTTTCCTGCTGCAGCTAACTTCAAACCATGATCCTCAGATCTCAGCCTCCCGAGTTGTTAGGATTACAGGTATATCCAGTGGTGCCCAGCAACCAGGCCATTCTTTGATGGAGATGGTTTAGTAATTATGCCTGGGCATGTCATGGAAAGACAGAACTTCAGCTCTTCTATAGCCATCTTTGGGAGTACAGACATGAGCTCTATGTTTCATAGAGCATTGGAAGCAGAGAGAGAGGTATGCTTGATTGTTTATCTCTACTAACCCAATCCAGACATCATAAATCCCTTTGGAAAAGCTAGCTTCAGTTACCTGTTATTGAGCAACTAGCTACCAGAAACTGGAATTGGTGACAATAACAATTTCACTTCCTTATGATTCTATGGAGTAATGATTCAGGCAGGGTTTGGTAGATGGCTTTTCTCTTCCACATGGCCTCAGCTGAGGTCAGGCCATGGTTGGGCTCACCCCTGGGATGGGCTGGTGGCTTAAGGAAGGATTTGGTGACATGTCTAGCAATTCGATGCCCCTAGCCACTTTTGCTCTGTGGCTAATTTGGATTTATTTTGTTTTGTTTTGTCATTACAGCATGGTAATCTAGGGTAGCAGGTTTCTTAAAGGTCAGCTCCCAAAAACAAACATTGCAAGAGAGGCAGTTAAAGGGCTGCAGATTTGTGCATTCTGTCCTTATGAGTTGCACAGATAAAATACATTACCAAGTAACACTAAAGGCATGGCTCAAGTAGCAGAGTGACTGTACAGTAAGTGTAAAGTCTTGAGTTCAAGCATCAGTTCCACCAAAGGAAAGAAAAATACCTGGGTGTGGGGAGGGGAGGAGGATGGGAAGGGATGGGAAGGGGAAACAACAAGGAGGCAACAATGCTTGATAAGAAATGTACTCGTTATCTTGTCCATGTAATTGTAACTCCTCTGTATGGAATTCTCACAATAAAAAAAGAAAAAAATGCCATATATGTACAAGAAAGTTGTCTCAGGATGTTTACTATTACAGTATATTTTATGCTAGCCCCAAATGAAAACCACTTAAAGTCATCAGGAAAGAATTGAAAAAATAAATAAAACCAGAAATAAATAAAATGTGAAAACCATGAACTATTTATAAAATTTGTAAAAAATTGAATCCAGCCTTAGAAATTGATGCTTTATGTTTTTATGTCTTTGTGCATTTTATAAAATAGAAACAGGAGCCAGACACCAGAGGCTCACACCTGGAACCCTAGCTAGTCAAGAGGCTGAGGTCTGAAGACTATGAGTTTAAGCCAGCCTGGGCAGGAAATTCATGAGACACTAATCTCCAAATAGCCAACAAAAAGCAGGAAGTCGAGCTGTGGCTCAAGTGGTAGAGTGCAAGCCTTGAGGAAAAAAAAAAGTTTAGGGATACTGTCTAGGCCCTGAGTTCAAGCCCTAGAACTGGCACCAAAATAAAAGAAAAAGAAAGAAAAGAAAAAAAGGAAGGAAGGAGGGAGGAAAGGAGGGAGGGAGGGAGGGAGGAGGGAGGAAAGGGAGGGAAGGAGGAAGGGGGAAGGAAAAAAGGAAGGAAGGAAGGAGGGGGAAGGAAGGAAGGAAGGAAGGAAGGAAGGAAGGAAAGAAAGAAAGAAAGAAAGAAAGAAAGAAAGAAAGAAAGAAAGAAAGAAGGAAAGAAAGAAAGAAAAAGAAACTACAACTATGCATTCAAAGGGAGGGAGAGAAAGAATATAAAGATTATACTTTAGCAGTTTCAGAAATACTGTTATTTCTCAAGTATAAAGCAAATATGGAAGAATATTTATGCTTGTTGAACTTGTGAGTTGCATGCTCCTGTATATTTGTGCTACTTTCTACATTTTTATACGTTAAAATTTAAATAAAAATTGCTGGCCTATACCTGTAATCCCTTTGGATGCTGAAGCAGGAGAATCTCAAGACCAGCTTGGGTAAGAGTCTAGCTAAAAATAATCCTTATTTACTTTAATTTGTTTGCTTAAGTGAATAATCTGTAAATACACACACACACACACACACACACACACACACACACACACACTTTTCTATGTTTTTGCCAGCATTTGTTCAACTTGCTTGCTCAGTTGGTACTGTCCTATTTGACACATCCTACTCACCCTCTCTGGCCCTAGGTTAATTAAGTATGGAGTCTCATGGACTTTTCTACCCATGCTGGCTTCCAACAATAATCCTCCAAGTCTCAGACTCCTGAGTAGCTAGGATTACAGGTGTGAGCCATCAGCACCCAACATATATTTTTTTTTAATTAAGTGGCAGTTAGTCATTTGTGCTGTGTTGTAGACATCAAAGCAAGTTCTACCTCACAGAGGGAGCAGTAGTGAAGAATTTGCCACCAGCCGTCTGGAATCTTCTACAGAAACCTCTCAGCTAATGTTCCAGCCTATATTTAACTATTTCCTGGGATGAAGAGCTTGACACAATGGCAAGCCAGTGTATAAGGAACAGATCTCACCCAAATACCCAAGATGGTAAACCTGAGATGACTCCAGGGCCCCGTATCAGATGCTCCCCACAGACACTGCCCTGTGCAGCCCCTCTAGAACTCTCAATACAAGTTCCCGAGCCTCCTTAGAACAAAGACAGCCCATATCAGGATGACATTCACACTCAACAAATGATATTCTAAAACCAACACACTGGATCTTTTTTCTTCCATTGGAAATGACACCGACATTCTACATCTGAGTCCCTCAAATGTGAAGACTCTCGGGTCATGCCAGGTAGCTTTACTGACTCCACCATGAACCCTGGCACAGAGCCTCCTACAATTTTTCCACCCCTTCTATCACCAAAACTCTCAGGGAGACCATCAATCAGAGAATCTCCTTCAGGAACATGATCCTCTTTGTGCACCCAACTCTACCATAAACTCAGCTCCCAGTATCTGAGCTCAGCCTTGTGGAGGAAGGAGCCCACAGGGAAGCAGATGACAGTCACTGCTGGAGAGAGTAAAAAAGAATTGGTATTCCTCCTCCCCGGCAGACTAAAATAGTCATCAGCCAAACCAATAACACAAATCTCTCCCCCACTGCGGACTGGATTGGACATATGATTACAGAAGCATTCTTGCTTGCAGTAGGCATGCCACTGTGTGCCCCTACTCCACAGGACGGTGCCCGCGTTCACAGGAGATGCTCCCGAAAGGTCTGAGGGCTTTATCAGGATTTTTGAAAACTAACTCCCAAGCCCAATCTGGCATCTGTTTGTTTTTTAAAATGAAGTCTTAGTGGAAGCAGCCAAATGCATTTCTTCACATATTGTCTGTCGCTCCTAATATCCGACCAAGGTAGAGTTGCGCAGTATAGTGCAGAACGTAGGAGGACTCCCACAGCCTGAAATACTTACAGCCTGGCCCTTTGCACAAGTGCCTTTGCTAACACCTACACCACAGTGCCAGGAGCTATGGAACTTCCTTCCAAGTTAGTCAGCAAAACAACAGGCAAAAGAAAAGATGTATGCACATATGTGTGTGCATATATGTGTATGTAAGTGTATGTATGTATGTATGTGTATAATGTACATATGTATATATAAATATGCGAACACATGCATACATGTATATGTATATATGTGAGCATGAGACAATGGATAAAGAAGATTAATACATTTGGCTCATAAAAAATTTGAGCTTCTGCCGGGCGCTGGTGGCTCACGCCTGTAATCCTAGCTACTCAGGAGGCTGAGATCTGAGGATCGCGGTTCAAAGCCAGCCGGGCAGGAGAGACCGTGAGACTCCTATCTCCAATAAACCACCAGAAAACCGGAAGTGGCGCTGTAGCTCAAGTGGTAGAGCGCTCGCCTTGAGCTGAAGAGCTCAGGGACAGCGCCCAGGCCCAGAGTTCAAGCCCCACGACTGAAAAAAAAAAAAAAAAAATTTGAGCTTCTGCACATCTAGTACTGAAAATACCAAAACCAAAACCAAGAAAAAACCTGAGAAAATATTTGCAATATAAATGATATTTTTTAATCTGTCACTATGGTGGGGGTGGGGGTCTTAAGCCATTTAGAATAGAATGGGCAGATGTCATATACATCGACCCCACATCTGCACCTCTATATAATGGCTCCTCCCAAAGTCTCATTCAAAGAGACTGGACCAGACTATAACTTGGGTGCCATGTCCCTGTGCTATAGATGATACCAGGCCCCACTGAAGCACCTGCTGTCAGGTGCTGGTGGCTCACACCTGTAATCCTAGCTGTTCAGAAGGCTGAGATCTGAGGACCACAGTTCAGAGCCAGCCTGGGCAGAAAATTCCATGAGATTCTTATTTTTTAACCAGCAGAAGAACCTGAAATGGAGGTGTGGCTCAAGTGCCAACCTTGAGTTCAAAAGTCAAGTGAGAGCATAAGGTTTTGAGCTCAAGCCCCAGTACTGGCTCTAGATAAATAAATGGATGGATAGATAGATAGATAGATAGATAGATAGATAGATAGATAGATAGATAGATAGATAGATAGATAGATAGATAGATAGATAGATAGATAGATAGATAGATAGCCTGCCTGAGGAAGCTCGATGCTACCAGAAAAGTGAGTTGTTAGAGCTAGCCAGAACCTAATAAGAGCTGTTTAGCTGTCCTTTCCTGGAGCATTTCCTAAAGAGAACCTACCATTGTGAATATGTGTCTCTTTCAACTCAAAAGCATCCTCTCAAAGACTTGAGAGCCATTCCTCTCAGTGTGACCATCCAGCAGAAAAGGTCTTCCATCCTTCCAGCCAATAGACACAGCTCCTAATTGCTCTTTGTGACTCCCAAAGTCTACTGAGAACCTGCTATTTCCTCTCACCACTGGCCCAAACATCCAAGTCTAGTTCATGTGGTCTTGCCAATTCTCTGTCCCTGCCGGACCTTGAGTTTCCTCATCTGACTAGAGGCATGGATGGACTCAAATGGTGTGTCCATCTCCTTTCTGCTCAGACATGCCTGATTTCTGGTCTCATGAAGAAAAGTCTGAGCCAAACTGCCCTGCTGGCCTTGTGGGCTAAAGCAGGCGGCTTTACCCAGAAGCCCATGCAGTGGCTCACCTTGAATTCCTCGTGGATGCGTTCCTCCAGGATTTTGGCAGCCTTTCGGTCCTCCATCTCCACTTTCCACTTCTCTGCCAGGATCCTAGCTTTCTCATTGGCCAGAGCATCTCGAAACTTCTTGGTGATCTCTGCCTCTTTCTGTCTCCTTCCAAGAGAGTACCCAAAAGGAATCAGCTTGAGTGAAAAACCAAAAGTCCAGGTCACAATGGAACTTCAAATAAAAACAATGAGTAATTTTACCTTGGAGTGGAGAATGGCAGGTATCAAAGGTCAACCAAACTCCATATTTGCACAGGAGGAGAGAAATAGGTACTCTCACAGGGGAATGTCAGTGTGATAGGGCTTATCAAACCTCGCCATCTTAGAGTTTACGCTTAGCTTCTGTAACTGCACTTTGCTTTTGTGACTCCATCTTAAAGGTAGCACTGCACCTCCACCCATGAGACTAGTTCCCTATGGCTTGACATTTAAAAATATATGTATCCACTGATCCGTCTATGTTCCTAAGTAATGGGTCATGGAAATGGGTCAGAGAACTGGTCCTAGAAATGGGTCACATTGCCCCAGCTCAATGCTATGCTTGACTTCTGTAACTTCCCACTTGGCTTGCACCTGCAGGAGAAAACTTTAGGGACTTTCCACCCCTGAGCAAAGGGGGCCTCAGAACAGGCTTGGTACTGCCTTGGGCACCTGATTACCCAGTGTAGTCCCAGCCAGCTAATAAAGACTTTCTATCTGCTATACTCTGTGTTCATGTGGTCTCTCTTGGTGGCTTATCCCACAACATAAGTCAGAAGGATCATTCTAGAAGCCAGAAAAACAAGAATTGGAAATACAAAATGTTCATCAGAGACTTTTTATAGTATAAACAATTATATTGCTGGGTGCCAGTGGCACATGTCTGTAATCCTAACTATTTGGGAGGATTATATTTGGGAGCCAGCCCAAGCAGGAAAGTCTGTGAGACTTCTATATCCAATTAACCACCAAAGGGCCAGAAGTAGAGCTGTGGCTCAAGTGGTAGAGTGCTAGTCTTGAGCAAGAGCTCTCAGGGACAGTGCCCAGAGCCTGAGTTCAAGCCCAGAACTGGCACACACACACACACACACACACACACACATATATATATATATATATACATATATATCATGTCTTTCAATAGAACCAATAGAACCAATAAACTGGGCTTGTCACATAAGTAAATACTATAGAACAATCTTAAATAGTATCAGCAATCTATATGAATGGAGTTGTCAAAGTGTAAATAAAACAGCTTTCAAAGCATGTATCATCTAGATGGTTAATCTTGGATGGTGGGTCTTGGCTGTGGTTTTCATTATTACTCTATAGATTGCAATGTTATTTGCATGCCTTCGTAATTTTTAAACTGGTTCACTATCATTTGAAATGGAGTACATTAGAGTCAACTCCAAACTTGCATTTGCAAATTTGATGGAAAATACTAAAAAGCTGTGGATGAAGGAAGACAGAGTCTAAACTTTACAGGGGACTCAAGTGTCGGTTCAGTGGGGAGAAACTCAAGCAATGTAAAGAGGACCAAGCTGATTAACAAGGGTGGCTCCCGGCTTCTGTACTGTCCCCATGACAACCATGGAAGGCAGAGGCCAGAACACATTGTATGTATTAGGCAGGTGAATCTATACCACATGTCTATGGAAAGGAGTTGTCACACACACACACACACACACACACACACACGCATGCACGCACTACTGATGTGGAAAATGAGGCCCCAGTTCAGCTGATTGCTAGAGCCTGGACTTAAATTCACAGGTTCACCTGATGCAAAACTCCAATGCTAGTGTCACCTGATCTGAGCACAGCTTTACACAGCCAGCCAGGCAAATGCCATCTCCTCCCTCCTATGACAACCTGAGGGTCCTCTGCCTGGATCCCCACACCAGGACTCCACACTCAGGCCCCACCCAGTGCCCTCCAAGCCACCGCCCCTCACCAGAGCTCCTCAGCCTCCCTCTGTGCCTGCAGTCGAGCCCTCTCAGCAATCAGCTCCTCGGAGATCTCTTCATAGGGCTTGTCACCAGGGCCTTCGCCCATGACCCACACCCAGACCTCGCCATCCGCTCCCAGCAGCCACTGGAGGTGCTTGTTGCTCGCTGCCCCCCACAGTGGGAGGAGAACCGAGAAAGAAGAAGAAACACATCTGATTTCCAATTAATAAGAAACATCCTAGCTGGGTGCCATTGGCTCACACCTGTCATCCTAGCTACTCAGGAGGCTGCGATCTGAGGATCCTGGTTCAAAGCCAGCCCAGGCAGGTAAATCTATGAGACTCTTATCTCTAATTAACTACCAGAAAACAGAAGCCAGGCTGTGGCTCAAGTGGTAGAGCACTTGCCTTGAGCTGAAGAGCTCAGGGATAGTGCCCAGACCCAGAGTTCAAGCCCCACAACTGACAAAATAAAACAAGAAAGTTAGAAAAGAAGGAAGGAAGGAAGGAAGGAAGGAAGGGAAGGAGGGAGGGAGGGAAGAAGAAGGAAGGAGCACCCTAAACTGGTCCAGGGACCCCAACTATCTCACCACTGAGCAGACTGCTGTCATCCAAAAATGGAACCCGGAGAGATACTTGTCTGATAGAAGGGCCAGGACCTGCCTTCTTCCTCTATAGAGCACAAACACATTCTCTGAGCTGGCTCCTAGAACAGGTGCTCCAGGCTGGACCAGAAAGAACAGCAAGAGGGGGAGGAAGTGGCCTTGGGTCTCTCCAGGCTGGAGCCTGTTAGGAACCAATGAACCTTTTCTCCCTCCTTCTTTGTGGCTGGAAAGAAGGAATCAGACATGGTGGAACTGCAAGATGAAGCAGCCTAGGGCCCTGCATCTCCATGACCTGCATCATACTGCAGGTCATAAGAAATACACCTGCAATGGCGGTGAGCCACCGAGATTGCCAACAGCCACAACAGAGTCCATTGACGACTAAAATGGAGATCTGTCTCAAAAATGATGGTGTTGCTAAAATGAATATAAACTGGGTGTCATTGTTTTAGCAGTTGGGTAAATGAACTGAATGGCTGGAAATACACGTCATGCAGGAGAAAAATAAGTCTGCTCAAAATATCAGACACTATTATAACTTAAGAGACAGACCTCATGCTTGTTAAGGGAAGAGTTTGGAAAAACCAAGTGTTATTCACGTGTGTGGCTAGTAGCTACGGTTTACAGAGAAATTCGTCGAAGAAAGAATCGAAAGCTTTGCAAGTAGAAATAAAATCCAAACTTGTGGGTCTTTCTTTATAGGATGCTATGTGTTGCGATGGGGGGAAAAAATGAAAAAAGAAACGTGAATACCAGTAGATCTAGACTTAGATTCTAACTTCACCTCCCACCTGTTTCTCAAAGCAGGTGGTGAAGCCTTCCTGAGATTTCAATGGCTCCATTAAAAATGATAATAATTGCCAGGCTATCTGTGGTTCACAACTGTAATCCTAGCTACCCAGGAGGTTGAGATCTGAGAATCACAGTTCAGAGCCAGCTTAGGCAGGAAAGTCAGTGAGACTCTTGTCTCCAACTAAACAGCAAAAAAGAAAAAACCAGAAGTGGAGCTGTGGCTCAAATGGTAAGATGCCAGCCTTGAAAAGGTGCCCCAGGTCATGAGTTCAAACCCTGATCTATCACATCAAATAAAGAAGGATAATTCATCATTTTATACATACATACAAAGCCATCATGAAATGTCTTACAACTAAGGGTGTGTCATGGTTGAATTTAGATCTCTCTTAGTAGGACAAGAAACAGGTATGTCTTTCAATCAATGACTCTCACATTCTATGAAGAACATATAGGTACTTTACAGATCTGAGGGACTGGGTAAGCTGAGCATTTGAAAGTCCTAGCAGAGGTCAGATGGATCTCTATCTGGATGTGTTCTGCTTGCTCCCAAAGAACACATTGCTCTTAGGCCTTACTTTGCCTGTCACTCTGATCTTTTCCTTCATAGGAAGAAAAAGTGAATGAGGAAGAAGAAGAGAAGGAGGAGGAGGAAGAAGAGGAGGAAGAGGAGGTGGAGGAGGAGGAAAAGGTACCCCCTGAGGGGTTGCCAGGGAGGAAGGGGAGGAAGAATAGGGAGAAGCATGTGTATGCGTAGTGTATAGGAGCTTTCCTTCAAAGGTTAGGAATATTACTGTGGAACTAGATAGTGCTGATGACTGAACATCTTTTTTTTTAATTTATTTTTATTTTTTGTCAGTTATGGAGCCCTTAAGCTTTGTTGCTCAAGGCTAGTGCTCTACCACTTTGAAACACAGCATCACTTCCAGTTTTCTGGTGGTTAACTGGAGATAAGAGTCTCATGGATTTTCCTAACTCTGCTGGCTTTGAACCACGATCCTCAGATCTCAGCTTCCTGAGTAGCTAGGATGACAGGCGTGAGCCTGTTCAAGCCTGTTCAGCACTTGGCTTGAACATCTTAAATGTAGTAAATGTCACTGTCTTGCCTGTTTTTAAGTGGTTAAAATGGTAAATAGTACATTGTGTGTGCTTTATTATTTTCAGAGGTGGCAAGTGCAGGGGAGAATATCAACCAGGTTGCTGTAACAGAGAGATGGGGATGGGCTCTCTGAGAGGAGCATCAGGGAGGAAGGCCCATGAGAAGGAACAGGCCTCTTGAGGGCCTGGGGAAAGGCCCTCCCACACAATGAGACACAAAGGGGTAGAAATTACGAATGGTGGGGAAGAGATGGGTAGATAGATGCTCGGAAAAGCATTTGTATTTCATCGATCTATGCGTCTCTGATCATATAAAATAATATTTATTGAAATGAACTCCAGGAAATGGAAACAAGAGGGGTTTTCCCCCTCTGTTGTTGTTTTTATTACCTTTTCTTTTTGTCTTGTTTATTTATCTCTCCCTGGGAGGCACAGAAATGGGAGGACAAAGGGTGAACAAATACAGTGGTACTCACTGGACACTATGTGGAAAATGAACTATACAACAGGAGGGGGAAACTGGGCAAGATCAAGGGTGACATTATCCAAAAAGAAATGTCCTCATTATTTTGACTTATGTAACTGTAACCCCTCTGTACATCACCTTCATAATAACAATTTTGTAAACATTTTTCAAAAGAGTTTTTTTTAAGTATGTGCAACATTAGCTACGGGCAAGGAGGGAGAAGAAGAAAAGGAGATACACTATCTTAACAGGTTGATAAGACATGTTCAGGGATCCTAAAAGACTGGCACACAGCTCAACCGGGCACAGAAGACACCTCTTTTATGCCATGTGAGTGGGTGAGGACCTCGAAGGAAGATGCTTGAATGAGGGAGGAAGAGAAACGACAAAAAGAAAAACATCAGCCCTCAGAATAGGGCCAAATCACAAGATTGCGCATCCTGACTCTATTCTGCAGCAACTGGGGTGAGCTTGGATGGTTTGGCTCCCTTCTGTGGGGTTCAGCACTTGAACTGGGGTTGGGAAGCCTGCCCTGCACCCCACAGAGACAGGGGGGCATTGGGGGAAGAGCAGGCATCTAGCAGATATAAACTCACCTTCACGGCCCTTCATCACGCTTTCAGAACATGATGCAGGCACGAGACTCCCTCGCAAAAAGCTCTTTGGCCTCATGGGGCACAGCATCCCTCTCCCTAAGTCATAGCCAAACAGTTCATAAGGGCAGAACTGAAGCTCTGACCAGGACCCTGACCTGGAGAAGCATACATATTCTTCAAAGTGCCCCCCTCATTTCCAGAAATTTAATTACCTAGAAAAGAATCTTATGGGCCAGAAACTCAAATGAGTATGACATATAATTTATACATGAAACTGTAGGCATCGATGAAGGACAAATCTTGGTATAAATATTTTTGCATTTTGAAAAGTGAGTCATCCGTCTTTTTCCAGAAGGACCTACTGGACCCTCGGTAGTCCTCAGGGCTGGTGGAGTGGGAAAGGTAGATCATCATCTCCACCAGTATATGATTCCGCTGCCAGCAAATCCAGCTCAGAAAGGCCTCAGACTTGGCACAAGCCACTTGTAGCCAAGTCACAGCCCTGCCCCAGTCTCCTCCTTGGAGTCCTGCTTTGTTTAGGGGCCCCAGTGACTCAGTCCTGCAATCCTAGCTACTCAGAAGGCTGAGATCTGAGGAATCCTGGTTCAAAAAGACACTCTTCTCTGCACATCACCAGCAAAAAGCTGGAAGTGGAGGTGCGACTCAAGTGGTAAAGTGTCAGACTTGAGTGAAAAAGCCAAGCGAGGGAAGGAGGACCTCAGTTGAAGAAGCCCCAGGAATGACCCTCAGCACCCTCCCCCACAAAACACCTATCATTCACTCTGATTATGTGAAGGTCGAGTGGAAGAAGGCTGTGGGAAATGAAAGAAAGGGAAAAGGACCAGCACTGTGGAGTGTAATGTGAGTACTGCATAAACAAGAGGGACCTCCACGTATGTAGCAGCCTTCTTGTTTCCGTCCAGGGGTCCTGAGCCATTGCCTTTGCTCACACACCCACAGGCTTGACTGGCACATGACTGCATATAAACCACCCTACTTCTTGTCTGCAGTTGCTATGGCCACTGGGCCCTGGCCCAGTGTCCTTTTGCTAAATGCACAGCAGGGCTTCGGGCCCAACCCATAGCCTCCTCTCATGGGAGGATCCAGAGCAAGAGGCCTGGTGCACAGGACCTACACTGAGAACTCTTGAAGGGAGGAATTGCCAGTGGCCAAGAACATTCATTGGGGTTAAGATCTTGCATTCTCCCATCATGCAATTCACATACACCTGACCACCATCTGAGCTCCTAGTGGTCCCTTGGAATGTGGACCTATCACAAGACAAAGCAAGTCTCCATTTCCCCGATCTACTATAACCCTGTCTAGTCCCTGCTACAGCCTGGACCTGTAGGTGGTCTTGATCAAAAGACAAAAGCACCTGGCGAATGAGGCCTGACAGCTCAGCACCGGGTTTCGAGCCCCCAGCCTTCGACCTACCAATCCCCTTCTTGCAGAAGAGCCAAGCCCGGCCTTACCAGCTCTTCTACCCACTCAGACACATACCTCGCTTCACCTTCGGGGGCCTGAGGCCGTCTGCCTGAGCCAGGGCATCCCAGACCTCCCTCTCCCTCCAGCGCCTCAGCTGCTCCTCTCGCATCTTGTAGAAGAGGATGTGTTTCTGCACATCGCTCAGCTCGGCAAGGAGCTCGGGGTCGATGTACATGTCATGGAGGATCTGCTGCAGCATGATGCACCCCAAAGAGCAGCCAGGCCAATGCCTCGGGCCACCCCTGCAGCCCTAGATCCTCACTCCAGGTCCATTCCCGGCATCGTCATTGATTCAGCATCGTCACTTTCCATCTCAGCTCCCAGCCAGCGATCAACTCATCTCTGCCCAGGACAGCATCAGAGGCCTGTTGGGCCAGGCAACAGGCCCCTGGGAACTTAGCCGCCGGCAGCTTGTGGGAGCACCCAACACTGGGGTTTCTCAACAGTTGCCTGGGTCTTGACTTCACCTGCGACAAGGAAAAGGATCCAAACTTCCAGCTCAGCAGAGCAGTACCCAGCTCAGCCCAGCCCTGCCGGGGGCCAGTCAGTAGGTGTCGAGTGATCTGTTCGTGGAAGGTAACAATGACACCAGCCGTATCAGTGACACTGCCCTGGCCAGTGAGAACTGATCTCTCCCGGGCAGATAAGAGGAGGGAAGAGGAGGAGGAACCATGGGTAGCTTTGCCTACTAATTCCATGTCTTCTGAGTCAATTTCAAATAGAAGCCAGGGGAGTCAGCCAGGAGTTTCTGGGTTCCCCTGGCCCCTGGCTCTACCTTCTACCCTAGCCAGCCTTCTTTTCAAGGCAGACTGAGGTAATGCTTTTAAAACTCTGCCTTTGGGGAGAGAAAAGATCTTTCCCCCCATCTGTATCATAGTGAGGGAGGAAGATAAAATGGACATAGTAGAGGCAGCGTAGGGTTCAAGGACTTGAAATAAGCTATCTGTCTTTCCTCTTCCCCTAAAGTGAGCCCCTGAAGCTATGCTGGTACTCACTGACAAATCCACCATGGCTGATCTGAGAAATTGTTGATTTTCTTGTTGCTGCAGATGGCTGGAGTTCACCCCTCCAAAAAGGAGGAGGAGAAGGAGGAGGAATTGGAGGAGGAGGAGGAGGAGGAGGATGGGGAGGAGGAGGGGGAGGAGGAGAGGGAGAAGGAGGAGGAGGAAGAGAGGGAGGAGGAGGGGGAGGAGAGCCGGAAGGCACATCCTAGTCTAGATCAGAGGTGCTGGCTAAGGTAGTATATTGCCACCTGCTTAAATGAAACCCATCTGGAGGGCAGGGAGGAGCTACAGTGGCTAAGACCGAAAGTTCCTGACTAAGCATAAGCTTAAAAGCCACTCTGCTCTCAGTGCCCTTCCATTGAGAGGAGGAAATTGGAGTTCAGTGGAAGTAAGTAAGGCTTGACCATGAGCTTACCCTGTCAGTAGGTTGCTGCTCTGATTAAGTTACTGGGCCTGAGCCAGATTTCAAAGAGTTGGAAGATTGTGAACCACCAGGAGACAACAAGCAAATAAGGAATCGGATTTGGCGGGCACTGTGGCTGGCTCAGCTTGGTGATTTTCATGTCCCCTTCCCTTCCCGAGGACAGTGAATGAGGGTCCTCTGCAAGGTCAATACACACACAACAAGGAAGGACTAAGCAGGTTGTCCCCAGGGCCCCAAAAGAAGCGTCATCAGGCACAGTTGATCAGCCTTGGGCCCCTGCCAGGCCCAGACCTTCTCAGGTCCCCCCACATACACAGCTGGCGTATAAGGACTGATCCTTGGAGCTCTGGGCTTGTAGCCTGCACCCCTTGTTCTCTCTCCACTCTCCCCCCAGCTCAAACCCCTGGCTCCCCTTCTCTACAGGTTTCTTGACGCAGCATCTTACCAGCACCCCCATCTCTGCCCTGGCTATTGCTGTGGCTGGGTGAATCCAGACAATGGGAAGACAGGGAGCCAAGGGGGTTGGGCTGGCCATCTGCTGGCAGTGTCCTTTCTTTCTGGGGGCCACAGATTCCTACAAGGGAGCCATGCAGAGCTGCAGAATGGGGCTGGCTGAGGGCACACGGCCGGGTCTTCGGGCTGGTGGTGGTGGTGGTGGTGGTGGTGGTGGTGGTGGTGGTAGAGACACTGGCAAGGTAAGGGAGGAGGGGAGAGGGAAGGGTGACCCCTCCCAGAGCCCTGTTTTGTGCAACAGAGAGGCCGAGGGTAAGGCTGTTTCCTGATTATCCGCGGTCAGTGGGGCAGGAGGCCAAGAGACACCGAATCTGGGACGTGACAGGACTGCGATGGCGGCCTGGCCTGTGGACTGGGTCGGGTTTCTCACCTGTGAGCTGGGTCTGCGCGTCCTGCAGATTGGACACGACCCTGGCGCGCCCCCTGCTGGCCACAGTGGGCGCTGCGCAGCTGTGCACAGAGCCCGAGACCGCATTGTGTGTACACACACACACACACACACACACACACAGCGGAATCCCAAGGGTGACTACGTACACCCTCCAGGGTCCCCCCCAGCCCGACACGCCGAGGGGCAGCAGTGAGATATTCAGACAAGGTTTCTGAACGCCTCTCCACGGTTGCATTTTGTTTTCAATGGCTGATGCAGAGGAGGTGGCCTGTATGTATGCATGCATGCCAGGGCTGGGGCACCAAAAGGCTGGAAATTGCCCGGAGGTCCCTCAGAGGGAGGCAGGGGTCTCCCTTACTGGAGCACTACCCCCATCACAAAGACTAGGTGGGCTCATGAAGACAAAAAGATTCTAAGGAAGGATTTAAAAAAAGAAAAAAAGACTAAGGTTGATTGTCTGGGTGAGGTGAAAGTCGAGAGCCTGTGGAATGCGGAGAGAAAATGCGGAACGTGGTGCACAAGGTAATTTTTTAAAACATGTTTAATGCCAGGTGCTAGTGGTTTGGGCCTACAATCCTAGCTCCTCAGGAGACTGAGATTGTGAAGATCAAAGCCAGCCCAAGCAGTAAAGTCTGTGAAACTCTTATCTCACCAAAAAAAAGATGGAGCTGTGGTTCAAGTAGTAGAGCACCAGCCCTGAGCAACAAAGCTAAGGGAGAGAGCACCTGTACACAAACACATACACACACACACACACACACACACACACACACACACACACACACATCAGTAGGGGCAATAACAACATATTAGAGCATGATTTGGGGGAGGGCACCAAGCCTTTTGAATGGGTAATCTTCTTCCATCCCAGATCCTTTGCAAGCATAGGGTCTGTCATTCCTCTGCTCAAAAATCTTTTATTCCATCAGAACCCAAGTGATCATGTGGACCCAAAGGGCCTCCCACACACACTCCGTGCTGTGTCCCTCTCACCCCACCTATCCAAGAACACCTCCCTCCAACATCCCAGGGTTACTGGCTGCAGCTTGCTGGGCTTTGAAGCTTGACAAACACACCAGACACCTCCTCCCCAGGGCCTCACACTGGTTCTTCCCTCTGCCTAGGATCCACTAGGTTCAATCACCAAATTCCAGTCCTGACTCCAACTTGCTTCTTTTCTTGTCATGCTGGAAATCAAATCCACAGACCTGCTACTGAGCTAAATCTTCAGGCTAGCTCCAACTTTGTGTGTGTGCGCGTGTGTGGCATGAGCACGCACGTGTGCGCACTCTCTCTCTCTCTCTCTCTCTCTCTCTCTCTCTCTCCTGGGGTTTGAACTAAGAGCCTATGCTATCCCTGAGCTTTTTTGCTCAAAGCTAGTGCACTACCACTTAAGCAGCAGTTCTACTTCTGGCTTTTTTGGTGGTTAATTGGAGATAAGAATATCACGGGCTTTCCTGCCCAGCCTGACTTCGAACCACAGTCCTCAGATCTCAGCCTTAAGAGAAGCTAGGATTACAGGTTTGAGCCACCAGTGCCCAGTTCAGCTCCAGCTTTCTAACTCCCCTGTACTCAGATCCTCCTGCCTTTCCTCTGCTCTGTGTGTCCCTTAGCACTTACTTGGTAAATTACTCTTTTATTTATTCATTGGTTGCTATGCTTTTGTCTTGCTCTTTCCCAAGTAGATAATAAGCACCCAAGGGCAAACACTTTTATCTGTTGGTTTACTGGTGCAGGTTAGTTCACTGGCAAACACTGTTTAATACATAGCCATGCAAGATAGAATACCTATTGCCAGGCGGGGAGGGGGAACCTTCTCAAGTGGAATTCACCAATCTATGCAAATGCTGTGGAGTTGTTCAGAGGAGAGCTCTGCACAGAAGTTGCCAGACACTTGGGCCTGGGCATCGCAGACAAGTGGGCACTGTAGGTGTATGGATGGCCCAGCTTAGCTGGATTGAGGGGAGACAGAATCTGTCAATTGTCTGGTATAATGTGCCACCAATTTCTGCCATTTTTCAGTCAGTGTGTGGTACAGATAACTTTGCCGAAGGGTGTGGGTTCCAGGAAGTGGGATGTTTGGGAACTACTTTGGTGAGTGGCAAGCACAGATGAATTCGACACATCACACTGAACATGGTGTGTCTCAAGGCCACGTATGTAAGCCCAGATCCTGTTCCATAGTTTACATTCATCCCAAATATTTGGTGTGTCTAGTTCCTATGGTGAGTAGTCTTTGCATAATGTTTTCTGAGTAGTTGCTGCATTCACGCAGGAACACGATTGGTTTTTCTGCCTACGCCTTCTTTTTTATACCTAAGGCTTTCACTGAGCCCTTGGATTACACAGCCGAGGCCCAGCGATGCCCTGAGTACACTTCTGTAAACCCTTCTCTGGGTGATAACTTACCAGCATACAGAATACAAGAATACAGGGAAGACCATCCCGTAGTTGATCTTCACACGATGGTTGTGCCCAAGCTCAGCTGTGACTAATGCTGGAGCCCTGTGGCTCTAGTCTGTATGACTGAATATGACAGACGTGAGGGCGTGCTAGAGCCGACGATTGACTCGTCTCTCTCTTCACCCTTCTCTTCTCTCCTCCTCCTCCCTCCCTCTCTTTCTCTGTCTCTCTTTATTCCTTACTCTGTGGAAACCATGCTATACGAACTGCATGTAGATGATCTGAAGCTCATAGGAGAAATCTCAGCCCTGGCAAAATAGTTCATCATAACTCTCCCATTCTGGAACCTAAACTCCTCTACACAGCTCAACTGTTCCTAACTCTCAGGAAGGCATGAGATATGAGATACGTTTGTATTGCTGATGGAAATGACCATACTTGGGGGTGTTTGGTTATGCAGTAAT